GACACAACTAGTATATTGAGACACCTGATATAGTTAAAGTCCTTTATTTACTAGAACTTAGGAGTGATAGAATAATTAGTGGAAGCTGGCAATTTGTACGTATCATGTGGGTTGTGCATAGGCATAGGTAGAGATTGACAAGCATTTTGACTTTTTTTTTATCTCTAATAGAACTGGTGGGGTAGAAAGAGAAGCAAGGATATTTCTAATAATAGAGTCTCAACAAAACCCCTTAAAGTATCCATCCCCTCTAGGCAAATACTTAGCCAAACAAGGTCAGCCTAAAGCAGGGCTGCTGAGGCCCAGAAACTTTCCATAAATCTAAGGTGCCTTCTGTTAGGCATCCCCAAGAAAAGGGTTAAGCAGTTCCCAGAGAGCTGGAATTGAAAGGGGTTTCAGAATTCAAAATGTACCATATAATCTACTGTGAAGTCAAAAGAGGTGTTGCCTTTGTCTCTGGGAAGGACCAGGAGTAGTTCTCCCATGTGTCTCTCACATATATAACTTTTTCCAGTATGTCTTTCAAATTTCTCTACGTCTCCAACTCTACTTCCCAGCAGAAGTGCCAGAGAAGTGGGCCATAGAAGCATGGCCACTAATCTGTGTCCCTTGTTCCCAGCAGCCCACACATTCAGGTAGTCAGGTTCATGGCATGCTGGGAGTTTTACTTTGGGCAACTGCAATCTCTGGCATAGAGATGTGGGTGCATTTTATAAAGTCATCAGGGGATGGAGTACATTCTGTTTATCATTCACGGGCTCAGAGTTTGTTCTAACAAAGCCAAGCTTAGACCCCTGGTAAATGGTGAGTTGTGACTTTAGGTCTGACTTCCTTTATAAATAACCCTAGGGGAATACTCTGTAACTATCACTGGGACATCTCAATTTTAACTTTGACATTGATCTTGATGAAATTTAGATGCTTCTCAGCTATGGAAGGTCCTCTGCAGAGCCGATGAGGCCCAGTATACCATGGACTGTCTTCATGGGATCATGTGAGGTATAGTTGCAGCTACAGGAACTGCATGTATGACAGAGGTTGTCATGCTGAGGATGGGGGCTCCCCACACTTCTACTCTCACCCCAGGACTAAAATAGAAAATATACCTAATGGGTACTTAGAAAAATAGCTCAATTTATCTCTCTGTCTCTCTTTTTAGTGACATTTGAAAACTGAGATTACCAATAAGGGTATATGGTTTTTAAAAGCTTTTCACACAGTCTAAAGCCCCAAGGTAGTGGAATTAGAGGGCACCTTTAAAGATTACTTAATAGTTCTAGACCCGTCAAGGATATTCCTAAACATTCTTAGGTGATTGGCTTCTATTCTTAAGATAAACCAAAATCTGCCTCTCTGTAACTTCTAGGTCAGCCCTCATCCCTGTGTAGCCCTTCCAGGACTTGAAAACTATGGTGTCCCCCTTAAATTTCTTTCTCTAATCAACTGTACTAGCTACTTCTCATAAGATATTGCCTCCAGACCCTCTACCATCTTGGTCTCCTTATTTTATCTAAAGATAAATTTGTTGTTCCCCTAAACTAAACACAAAACTTAGATGTAATCCTGCTAGCATATTCCAAGATAGCTGAGCTTTACTGCAGCTGAGCTTTTTTGGGAAACCAGGTCACCTAGTTCATGCACACAAAGCTTATTCTTTTGTCTTCTGTTTACTTTCCATATGAAAAATAAATGTCTGGCAATTGAGTAGCAAATCAAATATACATTTGAATCTCTATTCCCTCCTGTAATGCCATTAAAGTGGTTGTAAGAGTGAAAAGAGGTATTAGCAAAAAAATCAATGTTGAATCCAGAAAGCATATGTTAGATTTAGTGGCCCAGAGGAACTAAAAGTGCCTGGAAGAGGGGCCTCCCTGATTGTGAGGGGTTAAGTCTCAGCACTAAGAAGCCCTTAGCAGCCACCCACTGCAGCATTCTTAGATCCCTGGTCAGCTGGTCAAGGTGCTGACCCATATGGCATGGCAGACCTCTCCTGTCCCGCCCCCTGCTCCACTCAGCAGTGTATTTCAGTCGATTTGCCTGTTTTAATACCTACTCTGTCTCTGGGGAATCCTCTCATCCCTCATATGTCTGGCCTACACCCCAACTCTTGTATGCTTAAAAAAATAAAAACAAAACTATATATATAGATATAGATATATAGTTATATATTCCATCTTTTCCCCCAGTTCCTGCCACAGAGCTCCTAAAACACTTGTAATTCCCAGCATGATAGGTTTGATAGGAGTATCTTTTGTTCCTATTCTAAAAATTAGGTCTTTGTTAAAGCCCTAATAATATTTGATGTTTGATCCTGCTTCCTCAACAAAAGTGTCTAAAAACCTTGGAAGTACCTGAGTGATAGGGATGTAAGGAGCAAGCAACAGCTTTGATGTCATGCTAATTGGGTAATTCTTGATAGGTCTTTAGATAGCTTCAGGATGTGTCTGGTTGTTAGAGGAACCAACCTTGTGATTAGGAGGTTCCAAACTTTCACCCCCACTTCTCAGTCTCTGGCAGGGAAAGAGGATAGAAATTGTAGAGGGTAAGCTAATTGCCCAGTGACCAACGATTTAATCAGCCATACCTACATAATTGGACTGCCATAAAAACCCAGGACAGTGGGATTTGGGCTTCTACATTGGCAGATACAGCCATGTGCTAGGCACCTTTGTACCTCTTCAGAGGTACCTCTTTTGTATTTTATAGAATCCTTTCTAATCTGCAAATCATCAAACCTTAGGAAGTGGTTGTGAAGATCACCCCCTTCCCAATCCTACCTTTATAGTTGATCAGTCGGAAGTATAACTTGCCAGGACCCAATTGGCATCGGAAGCAGGGGCTTTAGTCTTACAGGACTAACAGAACTAAACTCTTAACCTATGGAGTCTGGGTAGTTAGCATGAAAATAAAATTAAATTGTAGGCCACCATTTGGTGTCTGTTCGAGTTGGAGAATTAGTGTAAGAAAAATCCCATACTTTTTTGTCAGGTATGCTGTGAGTAAATACAGTTTAAAGCACTTTCTAGAACTATCACCAGACCAAGGAGAAAAACAAGAAGGACTAAGTGGAATGCAAAAAACAGGGATTCTTATCTCAAGAAAAATTTAAATCACACAGTAAAGGAAACATAGCGGTCATCTTGGCTTGGCTACAGATAATATTCATATAGACCTTATAATGCAACTCTTACTCTAGCCAGCATTGATGTAAGTATATTGAAAAGATGGAGTAAGTAGAGCAAAGAGAAAAGATCAACAAAACCCTAATCTTCCATGATAAAAAATACGTAATATTATTGTATTTTACTACTATTACTAGTAGTAACAATTACTCCAAAACTTGGTAACTTAAAATGACAAGTACCTATTATTTCGCTGTTTCTATAGCTCAGGAAGCAGGAGCAACTTAGAGATCTCTCATTAGGCTGTGGTCCCTGTGTCATCTTGGGCCTCAGTCATGAGACATCTGGGGCTGGGGCTTTCACTTTCACACTCACTCAGGTAGCTGTAGGAGGGGGACTTAGTTCCTTCTCAGCTAGGCCTGTCCTCAGGATTTGTCATGTGGTTTCCCCCAGAACAAGTTATCTAGGAGAGAGAAGAAAAATTCACAGTGTATTTTATAGCCTACTCTTGAATGCGACATTCAAGCAGTGATGACATCATCACCACGTCTGTATTCAGTTGGTCACGCAAGCCATTCCTGAGACTGTGGAAAGGTGCTACACAAAGGTGCTGAATACCAGGAGACAGGAATTTTTGGGGCTGTTGGGACACTAACTACCAAAGGTAATACCTAAAAGTGAAAGATTCAAGAAGTAATGTCATTGATATGTTATTTAGAAAGGTGGAGATAAATATGAGAAGAAAGGTTGGCCCTGGGAGCAGGAACAGGGTTCAAAAACTGCTGGATTTCATTTTAAGCCTTACAGAACAATTTTAAGTAGAACAACAATTGGATTATAAGAGGAACTAGTAGCAGCTGAATCTGGTAAGGATCAGTAGGCATTTGGAAGATTGTGTGTGTGATAAGGATAGTTGATATATATATAAGCCTACAGTTCAGTGAAAAAGAGGACATTGTGACAGAAATGAGCTAGGAGCCTTGAATAAAAGAGATGAGCATCAAGTAGTGGTTACTCTGACATTTCATTGATGTCGCTCCCAGATGAAATAAAAAAGCTGTTCTTTCTGCTCAGTGCTTAAGTGGAAACGTTTGTGTCTTGGAGCTATAAATGGCAATACTTATCAAAGGGAATATTAAAGTTTAATAAATGGCAGATAGTTGGAAAGCACTTACAGAACTTCCTAAGCTAAGGATGTTTTGGTGAGAGTTGGGTACAAATGGGAGAAAGAGACAGCCTCTGCCCTGCAAGAGCCATGTGCCTGAGCCCTGTGGGTTGGCAAAACACTGGCCAGGCCACAGCAGCCCGCTGCTGTGGGGTCCTTTTCCTAAGAGCAATTCTGGCTCCCACATGGTGCCTAGAGACCCACCAACTTTTGTGCCTGTGATACCCACTGTGTTCCTTATCCCCATGCATGTCCCCTGTTGAAGTTTAGCTGTGCTTGTTCTTATCTCTTCCTGTCACAATGTATTTACTCTTCTGGAAGAACCTACAGATAGGAATTTTATTCTGGGGCAGTTTGTCCAGTCCAATGGCCTTCTAATAAAACGAATCAGGATAAATTTGAGGATATCAAGTCTTTCTTTGAGTGAGGGGAATTGCAGTGACAACTACCCTATAAGTAAAAATTAAAACTAAAAGCATTCAGGCTTATATTTGAGCCATTTTAATATCTCGTTAAAACATTCATCTACTGTAACTGAGTACATTGAATTTATAATACATCATAGCCTCCATGATAATTCAGACATCATTTACTAGGTTGTCTTCTGTATCATTGTGATGTTGGCCAGAGGATTCAGCTGTGGAGGGGGCAAGTTGGATTTTTAAAATTTTGTGTTCCTCAGTACCTATCTTTGTATTTTACTTTGCCCACAGATTGGGGACCACAAATTCAGTGCTCACCGGATCGTCCTAGCAGCCTCAATCCCGTACTTCCACGCAATGTTTACAAATGACATGATGGAGTGCAAGCAGGATGAGATTGTAATGCAAGGAATGGACCCAAGGTACTAAATTCCTCCGTTAGGTTCCACAGGCTGCTGTCCAGGTACAGATTCAGCCTTGTGCTTTCATGTCATGAGGGCCTGCAGAAGGTAATAGCATCTAGCACAGCTCTACACACTTAGTAGGCAATTAATAAATAAGTTGGACCCTCACCTGGTAGCCCAAAACAGTTTAAATGCGGTGAGTTTTGATGCTATTTTTTACTCTATTAGAGCAACACATTTAATAGGAACTGGAATCCAAGATATTTTCTTAAACTAGGACTGGATATAAAGATGGCAGTATATATTGTTCTCTGCACTTTTCTGTGCTAGCCATTTTATATGGCAAAAGTTTTCCAAACAAGTATCATTTGTTACCCTGCTCATCAACCTGGAATAGTGTTGTCATTAGAACTTTCTGCAATGATGGAAATTTTCTGTTCACTCCAAAATGTGTAGCCAGTAGCCATATGTAGCTATTGAATATTTTAAATGTGACTAGTTTGACTGAGAAACTGAATTTTACATTTTTACATTTTGTTTTAATTTTCTAAAAATATTTTTTAGTTCCCCCATTACCAAAGCACCATCACAGTCCACTGTACTCTTCCCATTTCCATTTTTCTCCCCTCCCCCCTCCCCATTTTATTTAATTTTAATTTACTTGTAATTTTAAACAGCCACATGTAGATAATGGCTATTACAACACAGATATATAAGGTGGCAGACGTCATAACGTATTTGATGGGTAAGAAAATTGAAACCTTGGGAGCCAAGCCCAAGATTATCTTTCAGTGTCTAAAACAACCCTTCATGACAAAGAATTATTAACCCCAATGTTAGTAGAACCAAGATTGGAAATTTTGGTATCATAACCTCCAAAACCATATCATTTAGGCGCTGTTCTTATATCTAGAGTCACTTCATGGAAATGCTTTTCTTATTTCTTCATGAAGACTTTGCATAAACATTTCGTAGTATTTCTTTTTGGACTTTGAAAGAAAAAAGGCGTGTTGACATTACTTAAGAGGCTTTGTTGTAAGTCTGCGAACTGAGGCTGTATGTTTATAATCTAAGCTGTATCATCTATTATGTGTCTGCATTGTTCTGAGTTATGGGAAATCAGCAGTAAGACATACCAAGTGGCTCAAGGCGATGAGTCTTGTACTTGTATGAGGAAACAATAAACAAATCAGTGATCCACAACACTAGCCAGTAACCTATCATTTGTTGCCTAACTTCTTAATCTCATGATGGTGAAAACTATGGGAAAAAGACCTTGGAGAATGTGGTACCCTCTGCATGATTGAAGGTGATCTCCACAATACATGGAAAGGATTTATATACCTACTGTGAGACAGAAATCTCAGGTCAGCTACTTGTGAGGAAAAACACAGAAGTGAATCTCCAGGAGTCGAACACTCTTCTCTGAGGTCTCTATGTAAAGGAGCCATGCTAATCACCATGCACATTCCAAGGACTTCATTTCACAGAAATACACTGAGCACCTGTGCCTTTGCTGCTGTAGGCGTTGAAGTGTAACAGTGATAAAACAGAAAGCACCTCTTCTCATTGGGCTGATACGGTGAAGAAATACATGCATGGTGTGGCAGGAAATGAAAGTGAATTAAGAAAAGTAAAGCAGAGTAAAAGCTAGCAAATGATGGTGGGGGTCTGTGCTATTTCAGGATGATCAGGGAAGGCCTCTTTGATGAGGTGACATTTGAGTCAAGACCTTAATTGAAGTGGGGGAGTGAACCTTCTGGGGGAAGAACCCTCCAAACAGAGAGCAGCCAGTACAAAGGCCCTAAGGTGAGAGTGTGATCAGCATTTTGGAATAGAGGAGGGTGGGGGAGGAGAATGGAAGGTGATAACCTCAGTCGGAGGCCAGACCACATCCAGTCCCATAGATAGAATTTGAGTTTCATCCTTACTGTGAATTAGAAGCCAGGAAAAATGTTAGAAATTTAATCCTGGAAATCTATCCTAGTTCTTTTTATAAGGTAATAAGATATTAATAGCTGTTATGCCTACTATTAAAAGAAATAAATTTTAGCATATTTACATGTTGGAATGCTGTATAGCAGCTATTAAAAATGTTAAAACATGAAGACGTGTAGAACCCAGGAAAGAGTTTCATAAGTTTTATATAATTAGACTCATACAATTTGCACATGCTGGCAAATGGGAAAATGACTACCCTTGCCTCATTCAATAGAGGCAACTTCATGAATAATTATTTTCTCTTTTTAGAATTTTCTTTAATAGAGTTATTTAAAGACAACTTTAAAAAGAGTGAGTCTTTGATGGTGATGAAGCAGTTTTTCCATTCAGGTAAATTCTTAAAGGGCGTGGACTGAGTGCCTGTTAGAGTAGGGCACACTCGTTCCCCATACAATAGATCCTGAATCTCCTGTGAGCCAAGACATCTCTAAAGAACATCTTTTTCTCTTCCCTCAGTGCGTTGGAGGCGCTCATCAACTTTGCCTACAATGGCCACCTTGCCATCGACCAGCAAAATGTCCAGTCACTGCTGATGGGCGCAAGCTTCCTGCAGCTGCAGAGTATCAAAGATGCGTGCTGCACGTTCCTTCGAGAAAGGTGAGGTGTGATGGGCCTGACCTGTGGTGCAGAGCATGACCATTTCATTTCTCAAATCTCTGGTCACTGAGTCTTTGAGCCACATTGACTTTTATGAGGATTGTAAGCTGAGGTAACTCTATAGAAGTGACATTTTTTTGGAGTCAGTATCTAGTGCCCCTTTTTTGGGGGTAAGCCTTTGAAATTTTAGGGTTTACAGAGCTCTGCCTTCACTGCCCGTTGGCCGGACATGTTCCTCTTTAATCCCCTCTTCATTCTGACTAAGCCACTGACTTAACTGACTCTTCTCACCAAACCATTTTATTCATTGCTCTCTATCTGTTCCATATACATCTCGTTTTGTTTAGCTCCTCTTTCCCCCTCCTTAATTTCTTGATCTTTTTATGTTAGCTCTTTAAAAAAAAAAACACCCAAATAACCCCCTGGAATTCTCTGTCCATCTCAGTCTCTTAGCAGCAACAATTTGCTGCTCTTGTAGGACCCTACCTGTGACAAGTACTTGCCAGTGACCTTTTAGTGACTAAACAGATAAGAAACCTCTTCATACCCTTCAATGCTCAGTGCTTTTAGTCATAAAGTAAAAGCCACCTTTTAGCCATGAGAGGCTTGCGGGTGAGGATTAGTGCTGGTCTATACTCAGGCAGGAAGAAACTAGAACAGTACCCCTGAGGTGTCTAGTGCTCTCTGATGCCCAGCCTTCACCTAAGCTACTCTGATCACAAAGCCACAGGCCTGAAGACCAGCATTAGATCTGTCCCCATTCTTAGACCTGGTGTGCCTGTCTCCCCTTCCCACTCCATATGTCCAATTCACTTGGCCACTCTATGGATCCTGTGTTGTCCATATCCTGCCCATATGTGGTCATGGATGCCACTGAACATTACTGTGTACGCAGCTGGTCCTAACTGTGGTATGATGCCTACCATTCGGGCATGCCTTAGCTGGGTGCAGAATGAATGGTCTCAGGGTGAGGTAGGTGATCCTGTTTTGGACTTTACAGATGGAGGTTGTGTGGTAAGGGTGCAGCGCTAGACCAGGCTTGTCCCTTTCCGGAGAAACACCTTCTCAGCAGATTAGAGGGATGCAGATGGGTATGTAGGACATACTCCATTTTTCCTACTCATTTGTGAGCTTCTTATGAACGGACTCCACACTTGTTTATCTCTGTGTTCCCACAGAACTTGGAGAATGCTTAAGTAGGCATTGTGGAAAGGATTATGTTGGCCATTTTCCCTAAGGGCAAAACAGCTCCACCTAGGGGCCTTTGAGGCCTTCACTGTCAACTCCAGATTCAATCTCCTATAAAGTAGTGTCATCTAAAGGTGCTTAGAAGAGTGATTTTTTTAGACCAGTGCAGTTTTTATATGGAACAGTGACATTTTGGGGAAAAGATATGTAATTGCACAAAGCCTGTTGTTTTGAGTCTACCCTTGACATTTTTTCATTCAACCCTGCAAGATCCCTTTTAAAGCCTAAACTCACACCTGATTTCTGTTCTTATCCCTTCCACAGGCCTCAGAGGCTTAGTCTGTTTTCTGTTTTTCTCTCCAACACTTACTACCACTACATCTGTCCCTGGGGATGATTTTCCCTGTGCCTGCATAGAATGATGGAGTCTTTGTAAAGGAATTCTCTCCTTCCTGTGTGCCCTCGAAAAGACAAGCATGTGCACACTTTGGTCTTAAGATTTGCTTACTAATGACGTGAGGGGACTCATTCTGAGAAGTAGTGTAAGAGGCTGGGCCCTACAGCACAAAGAGAAGCTGCAGAAATGCCATCGTTCTTGATATTGTTCTGCCTGCTAGAACTTTAGTATGCTGATTGGTTTATTTCCCACATAAAGTTGAGGTTATTTTTTTTCTGGTGTTCCCTTTTCCTGCCTTCAGATATAAGGACCTTGTTTTTTAAGTGAGCACTGCAGCATGTATTTTCCAAAACTCTTTTCTCAGAGTTGGATCCACACAACAAAAACACCATTGAAATAAGCCATTAACATATTTGACTTAAAGAGTCACTGCTTGCCTCTGTTATTGCATTAGCTCTTTGGGTCTGTTTTCCCTCTTAATCTCCTTGCTCAACAATGGGACCCTTTCCTACTTGGTAGCACTATCTCCTTCCCTTCCTGGAGTACAGTTCAGCTCAGTTGAAGGTGTCTGTTATGTTCAATATTTTTTTAAAGATTTATTTATTTATGCATACAAAACTGGGGTACAAGCCAGAGGTATAGGGACAGTGAGAGGCTTCACCAGAGACAGAGTGGGGAGCAGAACAAGCAGGTCGACAAGGTACACTGCTGAGGGGAGCAGCGGGTGGTTCAGGAGAGGTCTGTGCCATGTGGATCACCTCAGGGGCTGGTTATCGAACTTGCACTGAAGCAGCTGCCGCTAGTCTGCAGTGCTGCATCCTAACCCATTGCTTATGTTCAATATTATGCCAAGACCATCTAAGACTGTCAAAGGTGAGGTCCAAGAGGAAGAAAATGGAACTATATTTGCATGCCAGTCAGCTATATTGATCATCTTTCTCTGTGATTTTGGACTGTTCGGTTCCCAGTCTGTGACATTTCCTCTTGAGTTGATATCAATACAGATGTTTGAGTGAAGAAATACTGTAGTGGACTGGGAAGGGTTAGCCTCATGTTTGCTGTACATACACAAAGTGCTTTTAGCAAATCTCAGTCAGTTCCTATAAGTGCTCCAGGAGAACGCTGTTACTTGACACACGACTGAGCTGACATTGTGATCTTGAGCCGTGTGCTGCCTTGCCTGTGTGTTGCTTTGTGCTTATGTCTTTGGTCTTTGCAAATTCACATAGGTTCCAAAACAATGAACAAGACAGTTGAGACTGGAATGCAGACACCTGTGTAAAGTTCAGTTTTATCACAAAGTCCAGCTACTGCAATGCTCTTACTCTTTCAGTCCCTGAGAGGTCTGTTGCTGGGGGACAGTGGTGAACACTGGGTAGTAGGTAAAATTCTGTGCCTTTAACCTTAAGTTAACATAAAGGCGAAAGAAAGAATTTTTAAAAAGTAAGACTGGGTAATTTTAAACACCTCCTGCAATAGATTGAGTCACATGACCCCCAAGGGGCTGCTGCTGTCACCAAGATTTCAGAACTATATTAGGCTTATTTGGAATTTTCTTGAATGTCATAGTAGTAAGAAAAATAACCTTAGTCAAAAATTAAAAGAGCAGGTAACTTCATACCAGGCATCTCGATGAGTGTGTTTCATTACATTCTTAATCCCAGCCACAACCCTAGGAGATGGGTAGCTGTGGGCATCACCCTTTCCTAGGTGAGGCTCTTACTGGCACCTGAGGAACCTAAGGTGCTGGCACCACCAGTGAGCAGCCAGGCCAGGGCTTGCACTGGTCTCCCTGTCACTGGGGGGATGTGCCCAGGAGGCTGTGTTTAATCTCAGCACCACCATTTGTTGGTAGGGGGACTGTGAGCAACTTTCTTACATTCTCTGAACCTCACTTTTCCACTAAAAATGAGAGCAGTTGCTACTTTTTGATTTGTTAAACATTCTGAAAAATGTGTCTAAAAGCATAGCGAAGTACCCGCCTCCCTGATAGTGCTAAATAGCAACAGGTGCTGCTTTTGTTTCTAGACACTTAAACAGGTATATTTACAAAGCCTTTCCCTGTTTTGGTTTTTTTTTTTTTTTGAAGATTTCTTTATTTAGCATATAAGAACTGGGGTGTAGGTCAGAGGTGCAGGGTGTGAGGGGATTTACCAGAGACAGAGTGGAGAACAGAACAGGGAGATCTGTTGAAATATAGCTGAGGGGAGCAGCGGGTGAAACAGGAGAGGTCTGCTGTGCCATGTGGGTCAGCTTCATGGCAAGGATTGAACTTATGCTGCAGTGGCTGCAGTAGCTTCATAGTGCTGCACTTCAACCTGTCACACCACCAAGGCTCCCTGTTTTTGAAGAAAAAAAAAAGTGTCATCTCTCCACGTGATTTAAATTCTCACTCTAGAACTTCAGTGCCCTTCTGGTAATCAGAGGTGGACACTCAACTAAGAATGTCAGTAGCTGAAGGATAACAGACAAGTTTTCTGTTACTCTTTTCTCCTTCTGATCGCTGCTTCATACAACTTTCCAGAGAGCTCATTCCTAGAAGCATGGAGCACCAGGCCAGAGATGCAGTGACCTTTGAGAATAATCTGTTTTAATCTTATACTTTCATAAGTTGAGTCCCAAAGAGATATTCCCTGATATCACACAGGGAGTTTCCAACAAAGCTGAAGACAGAGCCTATTTTTTGTCATCTGTGACTACCTAGAATTATCATGGGATGATAGAACATTCTTAGTTTATATAAAGTTTTTCTTTTTTCTTATGTCAAAAGGCTTCATCCAAAAAACTGCCTTGGTGTACGCCAGTTTGCTGAGACAATGATGTGTGCTGTGCTGTACGATGCAGCCAACAGCTTTATCCACCAGCACTTTGTGGAAGTGTCGATGTCGGAGGAATTCCTGGCCCTGCCCTTGGAGGACGTGCTTGAACTGGTGTCTCGGGATGAGCTGAATGTAAAGTCAGAGGAACAGGTCTGTAGAGCTCTAACAGTGTGTGGATGAGTCTTTTTTCTAGTCTTTATTATCATTATTATTATTATTATTATTATTAATAATAAAACAAAGATGATGTGTATGCACTTGTTGTTAATTACGGGTTTATTCTATTTACATTTTTCATGAAAACCTTTATATATTTTGGATGTTTGGGTTATTTACAGTATTTACTACTAGAAATAATGCTGTTGTGAACTGTAAATAAGGATAAATAACTTTTTTTTAAAGATTTATTTATTTATGCATACAGAACTGGGTACAGGCCAGAGGTGCAGGTGCGATGAGAGGCTTCACCAGAGACAGAGTGGGGAGCAGAACAGGAAGATTGACAGAGTATACTGCTGAGGGGAGCAGCCAGGTCAGGAGAGGTGGATCACTTGGGGGCGGGGATCCAACTCAGGCTGAAGTGGCTTTCGCTTCTTAGTGCTGTGCTTTAACCTGCTGCGCCACCAGGGAGCGCCCAGGATAGATAACTTTTAAGTCTCTCTAAAGGAGCAGAGCATTTAGGCAGTCCTTGTAGAGGCGTATGAAATCAATATAAGTGTCTTAATTTTTCGATTGGTTAGTTTTTTAAGATAAATAATGGCTAAGGCACTTAAGCAGTATGACAACAAAAAATAATTCTAAGCATCATGAAGTGAGTTGGCTCTTTTTTAACTGCTGACTATAAAATGTACAATATATTATTACTTTTTTTCCCTACCACCATTCCCTATCCTCCTTTGACCTTCTCTTTATCCTTCTTTTCCTCTTAACCTCAGCCATCTCACTTTGTTCATTAGTGGCTACTAGTTTTTCTTTTTAATATTTTGCTTTGTTAATTGGTTGGTATGTATGTGTCCAGTATTTGTCATTCTGACTTAGTTTACTGTGCATAATTCTCTCAAACTCCTTCTAGTTTGCTGTAAATGGCAATGTTTCATCATTCCTTATGGCTCAATAGTATTCCATCGCTGGATATACCAGTTCTTGTCAGTGGGCACTTAACTTGCTTCTCTGTCCTAGCTATTGTAGAGCATGTACTGTTTTTGTTTTGTTTTGTTTTGTTTTTTAAGTTTTACTTTATTCATTTATACATACAAGTGCTGGGGTATAAGCCAGAGGTACAGGAGATGAGAGGATTCATCAGAGACAGAGGGGGAACAGAACAGTCAGATTGACTGAAATACATCACTGAGGGGAGCAGCAGGTGAGACAGGAGAGGTCTGCTGTGCCATGTGGATTAGGCCAGCTTTCGAACTCTTGCTGCAATGTCTGCCAGTAGCTTCATAGTGCTGTGCTTTAACCTATTGCACCACCAGGGAGGCTCCATATAATGTTTGTGTTGATGGTTTCATGTTGTTTGACTAAATTTCCAAGAGTAGAATTGCTGGATCATAGGTATTTCCATCTTTGGACTTATAATTCAAAGGTATTTCCTTTTTTTTTTTAATTTTTAAATGTAAATTCAGATTGCCTTTCAAAATGTCTGTACCAGTTTACTTTTTTTTTTTTTTTTTAAGATTTATTTATTTATTCGTACAGAACTGGGGTACAGGCCAGAGATGCGGAGGGTGAGAGTATTCACCAGAGACAGAGTGGGGAGCAGAACAGGCAGATCTACGAAGTACACTGCTAAGGGGAGCAGCGGGCGGGTCAGGAGAGGTCTGCCGTGCCATGTGGTCACCTCCGGGGCAGGTGGGGATCGAACTCATGCGGAAGTGGCTTAAGCTTCTCTGTACTGTGCTTTAACCCGCTGCGCCACCAGGGAGGGCCCTGTACCAGTTTACTTTTACAACAGTGTAATAGGGTTCTTTTTTTTTTTTTACCACATCCTCTCCAGCACTTGTTGAGGGTATTTTTGATAATGTGCCATCCTCATGAGTGTGAGATGACATCTCATTACTATTTCACCTGCATCTCCCTTATTGAAAGGAATATTGAACATTTTTACATGTGTCTTCTTGCTTTCTAGATACCCTCTTTGGCAAATTGTCCATTCAGAGCTCCTCCCATTTGTTAGTTTGTTTTTGTTGTTAAATTGAATGTTTTAGTCTTTTCTTTAGTATTTTCTGGAATATTAACCCCTTGTTGATTGTGTAATGTATGAGTATTTTCTCCCAGTCAGGATGTCTTTTTAGTCGACTTACACTTTCTTTCATTGAGTAAAACCTTTTTAATTTGAAGTTATCCCACATGTTTATTTTTACCTCACCTTGCTTTAGGGTTCTAGTTGTCAAAAATATCTTCCTCATAAATGTCAAAATATAGTGTCAATGTTTTCTTTATATATTTTATTGTTGCTTGTCTTATATATGCATGCCTTCAATCTAAATTTTTTTTGGCATACAATTGGAGAGTGGTCCAATTTCATTCCTTTACAGGCAGCTGTCCATTTTCCCCAATAATATCTGTTAAAGGAAAGTTTTTTTTTCCTATATGGCTCCTTTGTCATTAATTATTTATACAGATGTGGGTTTATTTTGGACTTTTGATTCTGTTTATTGACCCATATGCCTATTCGTATTCCATTATCATGTTGTTGTAATTACTGTTGCTTTGTAGTATGACTTAGTTAGGTAATAGGATGCTTCCATTTTTCTACTTTTTCTTAGAATTACTGTAGCTATTTGAGACCTTTCATGGTTCCTTATGAACCTAAATTTTTTTTTTTTTTTCAATTTCTTTGAAGAATTTTGTTGGGAAGTTTGAGCACTGTCCATGTCTCCTTCAGTATAGAAGGGTGTCTGTGTTGAGGAGGATAACTACCCTGACTTCAAGTGCTTTGTCAAAACCTCAAATGCAAGGCCTCTGTGGTTTCATAGTGTTAGAGCATTCATTGTATCCTGGGGCGTTACAGCTTTCTATAAAATTGCTGTGGCTGAACCAAGAAAGAAGGCATAATTTCTGTAGAAATTACTGTTCTGGGCCCTCCCTGGTGGCACAGTGGGTTAAAGCACAGCACTGAGAATCTAAAGCCACTTCTGCATGAGTTCGATTCCTGCCTGCCCCGGAGGTGACCACATGGTGGGGCAGACCTCTCCTGACCCGCCCACTGCTCCCCTCAGCAGTGTACTTCATCGATCTGCCTGTTCTGCTCCCCACTCTGTACCTGGTGAAGCCTCTCACCGCCCCTGAGCCTCTGGCCTGTACCCCAGTTCTGTATTAAAAAAAAAAAAAGAAAAGAAATTATTGTTCTGTGAAAGATTTAAAGATGAGGTCTGGTATCTTTCATATACCAGAGTGCAAAGTGATCTTGAAACATAAAGGATTTCATTGACTTGACTTTCCATGGATGTTTGTCACTGACTTACATTCTTAAACTGTGAAATATGAATATTTGGGCTAAAGGATAGTTTTCTTGATACATAACTATTGTGGGTAGGGGGAATATTGTAGGTATTTTAATGGAAATTGCACTAAATTTACAAATATAATTACACTAAAATTTGTGTGTGTGTGTGTGGCTTTAACTGTTCTCTCTTTGGCTACAAACACCTCAAACTAATAAAAATCTCCATAAAACAAAAATTCAGTGTCAGAAGACTTTACAAATAAATTTTATGCAAACCTTTAAGGAAGAATTCATGTCCATGTTACTCAAATTATTTTTAAAGATCCAAGGAAAAGAAATGCTCTTTAATATATTCTATGATATCAAAATCAGACAAAGCACAAGAAAGCTACATACTAATTTTTTATGAATACTGATACAGAAATCATCAACAAAATACTAGCAACTCAAATTCAACAATACATTGAAACGTTTATATATATCATGATCTAGTGAGATTTATCCCAGGGTTTTTTTGTTTTGTTTTTTTTTTAAGATTTATTTATTTCTGCATACAGAACTGGGATATAGGCCAGAGGTGCTGAGGCAGCATGAGGAGTCACCAGAGACAGAGTGGGGACCAGAACAGGCAGATTGACAAAGTAGTGCACTGCTAAGGGTTGCAGTGAGCTGGTCAGGAGAGTTCTGCCTTGCCATATTGATTGCCTCCAGGGTGGGTATCAAACTCTCACTGAAGCACCTGCGGCTAGCGTGCAGTGCTGGGCTTTAAGTCATTGCGCCACCAGGGAGGGCCATTATCCCAGGGTTTCAATGATGGTTTAGTATATACAAATCAATGTAATAAATTACATCAACAAAAGATAAAACCCATAGGGTAATACCAGTAGATGGAGAGAAAGCATTTGATAAGATTCAGCACCCATTTATGATAAAAAGTCTAAACAAGATGGGAATAGAAGTAAACTATCTAAATATAAAGAGTATGTAGTACAAACCAAGGTAATACTTAATGGTGAAAAACTGAGAGCTTTCCCTTTGTTGGGAATAAAAGGATGTCCACTGTCACTTCTGTCTAATGTAGTCTTAAAGGTTTAGCTAGGGCAGTTAGATAACAAAGGGAAATAAAAGGAATCCAAGCTGGGGAAATGGAGAAAAAAACAGTGGGTTCAGGAAGCAGCTAGGATGAAAGATGGATAGACTCAAAGTCCTGCATCAGGGGAGGGAGAGTGGAGGTTAACTTATGGGTGGGGCTACAGGGATGTGGCCTCTGGGTGAGAGAAGTTGCAGCCAGAGCTTCTCCTTTGCATTGTGCAGGTCTTCGAAGCTGCTTTGGCCTGGGTCAGATTTGACCGGGAACAGAGGGGGTCCTGCCTGCCAGAGCTGTTGTCCAAAATCCGCTTACCGCTCTGCCGGCCCCAGTTCCTGTCAGACCGAGTGCAACAGGATGACCTGGTGCGTTGCTGCCACAAATGCAGGTGAGCAAGAGTGGGCTTCACAGGACCCCACTAAGGGTCTCAGCAGGGAAGAGAAATTGGCCACTTGGGCTATTTCTGTCCAAACTTAGGGGAGAGAGGATTTGAAGAGGCCAGTCTTAATTTATAGCAGATGATTTAGTCTGCTTCTGCCTAGAACCTGGAAAGCCAGAGTCTTACCCCTCAGGCAGAGAAATGTGCCACATGAAAGCATCAAAGCAAACAGTGCCTCTTCTAAGTTTCTGAGGTTTTTTAGCATCTCCATTCATTGAGCTCTTTATGAATCTGTATAGCTTGGTGGTGACTTCCCAGGGCTTTTTGCCCTCTTCAGTAAACATTGGTCAGTGTGCTGACCTCAGGAAGGTTTGCCCATCTACAGTAAAGGGCAAGGAGGAACACATTCACCAACATGTGAAACTTCTACTAAAGGAAATCAGTGATGATAGCATAGCAGAACTACACAGCTCAGAAGATGGTAGCCCTGTAGGAGGATCATTATGTAAATCGAGCAATAGAAAAGAATGTTCATCTTTCCCCAGATTGCTTATCATTCACAGCTGGTTCAGGAGAATGTCAGTTGTTTATTGCAAGGGATGAGAAATTATGTGTCAGAAGGGGTGGAGGTGTGACTGGTGGTGGCTGGGACTCTGATGAGCAGTCTCAAGGGTGCTTTTGAAGAGTTTGGACTGTAATCTATAGATTTTAGTTCTGTAGGGTTAGTGGCAAAGGAAAGGTAGCTAGGACCGTAGGACTGGAGGCAGAGAAATGCTTCAGAAGCTGTTGATTTCCACTGCCGCGATCCAGGTGAGAGGCAGTTAATTGCATTGAGGTGAGTCATAGGAATGGAAAGGAACAGCTGGACTTCAGTGGCCACAGGATTGCAGCTGCTTGTTGACCCTCCCCTAGGCCAGCTATTTTAGTGACCACACTGTTTATTTCCAGGTAGGTACATGCCTGTTAGATACTCATTCTGATTATAGTAGCTGAGGAGGAGCTCTGCTCAGCCAGTCTTAGTAGCCATGTATGGTTCCCCCTGGACTCACCTGGGTTCTTTGAGACCAAACCCTTCCAGAAGGGTTCTCATCTGAGGTCTTTCCTGCAGTTAGTGATGGAAGAGTTAGGCCTAGAAATGCAAACATGGATTACATGGGGAAGGTACCTCCTGTCCTAACCTCTTCCTCTATTCCAGGGACCTGGTAGATGAAGCAAAGGACTATCACTTCATGCCTGAGCAGCGACGGCCCTACCTGCCAGCTTTCAGAATTCGGCCTCGCTGCTGCACTTCCATTGCTGGGCTTATCTATGCTGTGGGGGGCCTCAACTCAGCAGGTATCTTGCAACTCCCTTTTGTAGAACACCATCTTGGACTTTGCTTAAGGAGGCACTAAATGGCACAGCCTGACCCTCTGGTTCCTCTCCTTTGTGTCACCACTTTGTCCCTCTTGATTTTGTGCAGTTGTTTTACAGTTACTACATGTCAGCTATTAATACCAGTGAATCAGACTATCAGGCCTGAATGGGCCTGTTTTATAGTTGAGAGAATTGAGGCCCAGAGAATTATGTCCCAACAAGTTTTAGCAGAACAAGGTCTCAACCTCAGGCTTTCACTACTGAGCCAGCACAACAGGGACACAGGCAGCTTGCCCGAGGCTCACTTGCTAGTAAGTGGAAGTTAGCATTGGAGCCCGTAGCCTTCCGTCTGGTCATGCCTCCTGAACTAGGAAAAGGGCGTATCCATTCATCTTCATGTTTAGCTTGAGCACGTAGGGTACCTTACTACTGCTCTTCAAGAAAGGAAATGCAACTTGTCTGAATCTGATTTTCCTCAAAAAATTAAGGTTATCATAGCTGAAAATTCTTAGAGGACCCTCTGGCTCAGTAATTTTATGGGAAGAGCAGCTAGAGTCAAATGTTCCATATAATCAATGCCTACAATCAACAGCTGTGATCTAAACGAGTGGTCTCATTTGTTTTAATTTGAGTAGCAAATTTTTATGCAGGTGATTCCCTGAATGTGGTGGAAGTGTTTGACCCCATCGCCAACCGCTGGGACAAGTGTCATCCCATGACTACAGCCCGCAGCCGCGTTGGTGTGGCTGTGGTGAACGGGCTTCTTTATGCCATTGGAGGGTATGATGGCCAACTCCGCCTGAGCACTGTGGAGGTCTACAACCCAGAGACGGACACATGGACCAGAGTGGGGAGCATGAATAGCAAGAGAAGGTATTCTGGAAGCCATTTGTGCAGCACAAGTATCCACTGAATTTCTGGGCAATGTCATGCTAGACAGGGACATATGATAAAGTAAAACACGAGCTTTGGTCTGGGATTCCTGCAGCTAGCCCAGTCTCTACCAACATTCCCATCAGCTTAAAAGTGAAATACCTCTTTTTGAGGAACTTTGATAAGACATGACATGTGGAAGTTGTATTTTTGTGTTTATATTTTCGTGTAGAAGAAATTAGAGTGTAGGTCAAAGGTGCAGTGGGTGGGAGGATTCACCAGAGACAGAGTGGGGAGCAAAACGGGCAGATTGATTGAAATATACTGCTGAGGAGAGCAGAGGTAGGAGCCGTCTGTGGCACCATGTGATTTAGCTCTCTGGCCAGGGATCAAACTCAACACAGGGCCATGTGGTGGTAGCACTGATGGCACTGCTGAATATGTGTATGAACCATCACAATATTCTTTACTTTAGTGCCACCACACATTCCCCTCTGCGTGAGCACATAGGTATTTGTGAGGTGACCAAGTTTATATGATACTTAACACATGCTAGCTGTTCCTCCATCCCTTGCTAATTTGTATTTCCTAAATAAGATGGGGATAAGAGGGCTCCTTAGTGCCTCCATTTAGCCTTCTTAATGCTTAAGTTACAGTGATATCTTGCTTATGTCAGACATGTTGGAATATGTACATGGTTGGGTGGTGGAAGCTTTGGGGGGCTGGCACTGCTGAAGGTATGACTGGACAGGTTCTTTTCTGCCCCTGGTGGAGACACACTGGATCAAGTAGCAATCTGATGGTTCTGTTCTAAGATATCAGAGGACAGGAAAGCAGAGCAAGAGCCCCTCCTGATGCCCGGAACAGCACTGCATTCATTTCTTCTATATATTGAGCTTCCTTGACTTGTGTCCAACTTTGGTGGGGAAAATTACAGGAGATTTTTTGGAAAGGGACAGTTTGAAAACCTCTGGACCAGTTGCACTTCAGGGATCTTCCTGCTTCATAAATAATTCTATGGTCTAAGTATTTGCCTCATAAACCACTTTGACTATGCTTTGAATTCTTTAGCTGACTTTGAGTTCTCACGTGATAGCAAGGAAGAAAATTTAAGCAACTGTATGTATGGTGAGGAAGAATAGTCAGTGAGGAAGTCCTTTGCCATTTAAAAGTGTGATAGCTATGATACACATGTGCCATGGTCAGCGTGTTAATCTGTGACTTTGAGCCAGGAGGAATCTCTCGTTATGCCAATAAGACCAACTTCACAAAAGGTCAAAAAGTAAATTTGACCTTTACTTTGGAAAGGTATTCCTTACAAAGGAAGAAAGGAGAGAGTGAGTGTGTGCGTGTCTCTCCCCCGACGTGGTGAGCTAACACTCTCGTGGTCCTTCCTTCTACCACCTTCACCTCGTGTTTCCCATTCCTGTTCCTGAGATAACTTTGCAGTTTTCTATGGCCTCCGATGACTCACTGCTCCTTGTCCTGGACCACGAGTGCCTTTTTTGCTTTGACTGCAATCAGCTGTTCTTGTGTAAGTGCTCTAGGCGCTCCTAGCTTTGCTGTACTAGGTTTGGCATATTATCTGGAGGAAAGTCCTCTGAATAGTTCCCTCCGCTTCATTAAGGCCTTTATAGTAACATGGCCCAGCTCCGTTTTACCCCTTTTAAATTACAAGCTACCTAAAAATGTTCTTAGTCACTTCTTACCTGACATCCCACTTGGTTTCTGTTCAAACAGTTAGTAACAGCATCCTTTTTTTTTTTTTTTTTTTAATTTATTTTACATCATTCTTCCTTTTTGTACAATGCATGTTTTCTCCACTCAAGTGTAGTACCCCCATAGCTTCCACTGTTGATCACCTGTGTATCATCACCATAGTCCTTTGTGTAAGAACACATTCCCTCCCCTCTTTTGATCCCTCTCCCTCTTCCTCCCTTGCAGAGTAGCTCTGATTAATACTGCTTAACAGCCTCCTTTCTGCCATCAGTCCTTCCTCTCTCCTCCAGTTTTCTAGGCTGCTTGCATGGAGTATTCTCTCATAGACTGTTCTAGTCCCCACTGACCAGCCTTTTCCCTATCTATTCACAGTGTCTTTTCCACTGAATTGATAGTCAGTCTCACAGTTTTTGTGGCACTCATTAATTCTTTCCCATATTTTTGTTAAATTCCTATATTATCACTTGTGTCCTCTCCTAAAGGAATAGAAATAGATCCAGCAAACTTGTTGATCTTCCCACTGTCCTTGCTTAATGCAAGTTCTTTGCCTCTTTCAGGCTGGCTCATGGTCTGTTGTCAGCCACTTGCCTTCAAAGGGCAGTATGTAGATCAATTTGATTTGTTATGTCCATTTGAAAGGTAGTGGTGAACATAACATATTTTCCTGTTTGTTAGCCGTCAGATTTATGTCCGTTTGCTCTAGCATCAGGTTTGAAAACAGTGAATTGGGCAGCTTGGAATTTGTGTTTAAATTCTCATGAAGCTTTGTGTAGAATAGATAATTATATTACACCAGACGTCTAGGGCTCTAAACTTGGTATGTTGAACAGTGTGGGAGTGTCAGGCTTGTCTCATTTAATCTGAGACACATCTCTCTCTGGGCAGCTCTGAGAAGAGAGCCCAAGCTGTGAGGGGCTTGTCTGTAGAGTAACAATGGGGATTCCCTTGCAAGGTATGGTGAGGGTAGAAAATAGCAAGTGTGAAAAATACCAGATGGTTTTGCTCATAGCAGAAGTATAATGGACCAGATGAGAAAATAATAGGAATAATGAACAGCCATATACCAGAGACATTTTGTGGAGGTAGAGTGAGGAATGGGATCAAAAACGGGGGGAGGGAGAGGGAAGTGCACAGGACTATGGTGATGGCACACGAGTGACTTGGTGATGGGAAACCCACGGGGATTACAAGTGAGATGGGAAAAAAAATGTACAAAATGATGTAAAAATAAACTGTTATAAAAGAAAATAGCAAGTGTAGTGTACTTGGTATCTGTAGTAACTGCACAACAAACAGGAGTGAATATTACATTAGCCACTAAGGCAAATTAAGGGCCGTCCAGGGCTATATATGTAATGAAAAGACATTTGGAACTTAGTGAATTGAATGGGGAAATCCAGGTAACACAATAACAATAATAATAAAGTACTGTCAGAATCACGCTGATGAAGAGGCAGTCTGAACTTGTTCAAGAGGTGGCAAGTAGATCCCATTACCACCATGATGCCAGAACATAGTGTCTAGGGCAGGAGCTTGGGCTTCCCTACCATTCTGAACCTAGTACCTGGGGGGCGTGCCTCCTCATTGCCTTAAAAAAAAAATCTGATGAATAACTAACTGACAAGTGCTGCAGTGTGGGGCTGGGAGAGAGTAATTTTGGAGAGATCCAGGATGGGATTTTGAGAGAGAGGACTTTGACCTGGGGTTAAAAGGTAAATTAGACCCTGAATCTGATAAGGTGAGCTTTTAAGATTAATCAGGAACTAAGAAGAGGGTGATGGGGAGGTAACACTGGGCAGGGGAGGGGGTGGGGAGGGGGTGCGGGTTGGAAGCCAAAGGAACCTCAGGGCAGCTTCTTTCCCCTTGGTTTTCACCTTCACAGGAACATTCTTGGGATTTAGGCAGTTGGTGATTAGATTTATTTTTCAGCGAGCATGAGAGACTTGCCCCACGAAGTGTGAGGCTTATCTGGGGTGACAGCTCTGTCTCTTTCAGTGCCATGGGGACAGTCGTGCTGGATGGGCAGATCTATGTCTGTGGGGGCTACGATGGCAACTCTTCTCTCAACTCTGTGGAGACCTACTCACCGGAGACAGACAAGTAAGGACTTCGAGCTCCCCTGGGGCAACTGGAGCTCACTAAAAAAGGATATAAAATTTGAGCTTCAGTTTTATGACCAAGCTTCTTGGAGATAAAGAATAGCATAGCTTCATAGTACCTTACATATAATGGCTTCTTAATTACTTCTGGTTAAATTATCTACTTGGATATTGGGGAATGTGTTTATTTTCTTGTGTCTTTTCCCTCACCCTCCACCAGCAGCCCATACCCATACCTCACCTACCTCTTTCCCGACTCCGTCTACCTTTTCTTAACCCCTTTGAGAACCATTATCTTCTTTTTGCTCAATTCAAATTTGTTTCCTCTAAAATCCCTTTTTTTTTTTAAGATTTATTTTTAGGGCCTCCCTTGTGGCACAGGGGTTAAAGATGGCACTATCAGCCACTGGTGATATTTTTTATTAAAAAATTATTTTTACTTATGCATACAAGAATTGGGATGTCAGCCAGAGGTGTGGAGATGAAAGGATTCACCAGACAGAACAGGTGGAAGCAGAATAGGTGGAGCTACTGAAACCCACTGCGAAGGGGAGCACTGGGCGATACAGGAAAGGTCTGCTGCACCGTGTGGATTAGCTCCCTGGCCAGAGATCAGACTCCTGCTGCATTGGCTGGTGATAGTTTGATAACACTTGAGACTTTAACCCCTGTGCCACCAGGGAGGCCTCCAAGAATCTTTTTGACTGATTTCACTCAACATGATCACCTCAGCATCCCATTTGATGTCCCAAAGGCTACCCGTGTGCCTTTTTCATAGCTCTGTAATATTCCTTTGAATATATACTCCACTGTTTCTATCTGTTCGGGTTGGTTGCACATAATACAGTGCAACCAACAGTGCTGCTGTGTAGGTTTAGATCGAGCTTTTCATGTGAGTTTTTCATGTCTTTTGGGTAAATACCAAATAGTGGTACTGCTGGGTCATATGGAATTCCCATTTTTATTTTCTTGAGAAATCTCCATACCATTTTCACAATGGCTATACCAAGTTACATTCCCACCAACCCTGGATGAGAGTTCCTGTTTCACCATAATCTCACCAGCATTTGTTAATTACATTCTTTTTTATGTGGCCCATGTTCACAGGGGTGAGGTGGTATCTCAGTGTGGTTTTAATTTGCATTTCTCTTATAATGTGATGTTGAACATAATGTCTGTAGGTCTTCTAAATGTCTTCTTTAGAGAAGTGTCTATTAAGGTCCTTTCCCTTTTTTAATTGGGTTGTACCTGTGTTGCTGAATTTATTTTTTTTCAAGTACTTTATGGTTTTGGTTCTTATACCCAAATCTCTAATCCATCTTGAATTTTTGTGTATGCTGTTAAACATGGGTCTTGCTTTATTTTATTTTTGCATGTGGCTATCCATGTTTCCCAGCACCATTTATTGAAAAGGCTGTTTTCTTTTCCAGTGTGTGGCTGTAACTCCTTTGTGAAAGGCTAGCTATCCACATTTATGTGGATTTATTTCCGCTTCACTGGTCTTTTTGGAACTGTCTTTTTGTTTTCTATTTCATTTATTCTCTGATTTTTATTATTTCTTGCTTTCTGGTTTGGAGGTACTTTGTTCTTTTTATATAGCTTCTTCAACTGTAGAGTTAGATTGTTGAATTGAGATTTTTTTTTTAAGATGGGCCTGTATTGCTACTAACTTCTCACATAGTGCTGGGTCTGGTAGCTTATCTCTTTATGTTCATTAGTTTCTAGTTGTTGTTTTAATCTCTCCTTTGATTTCTTCATTGACCCAAAAACTGTTCAGAAGCATTTTGTTTAGTCCCCACATATTTTGGTTTGTTCCAAAATTCTTTTATAGTTCATTTCTAGCTTTATATATAAGCATTGCAGTCAGTGAAGATGCCTGATCTCTGATCTCTTCTGAGAGTAGGGAGTGGAGGGGGTTTTCAGTCCTCAGGCTATCCCAGTTGGGGAATTCCCAGTTTCCATGCTCATAGTCTACAGAATTCCCACTGCCTTAGGCTGAGGCTGGGGCTGGGCCCGGCCTACTCTTGTGTCAGCAAAATCCCTCCATGGAATTTCATAATGTCCTGTGTTTCCCATGTCATGACTGGGGAAATTGATCCCCAGGCCAGAGATGCTCCCCTTCTTTTCTTCCCTTTTCCTGTTATTTCCCCTCAGCAACTACCAACCTTACTTCTTGAACTCCTTGGGGAAGTTCTAGAGCTGTACAGCTAGGATGAAGCATCTGGATTTACCTATGAATACATACAAATCGCTTTATAGTTGTTTTTAAGGGAGAGTATGATTCTAGCCTCCGTAGTCCTCCATGTTCAAAATGTTTCTTTAATACTTTATGTCTCTTATGTAAATCAGCCCATTTTAATGAAAGTGATTAAGGAATAAACCAGAAATTTCCCAAGTGAATAGGACATGATTTGAAGGCTAAACCACTATAGTGTTTCAGGTTCCAAGCTAGGGCAGTGATGATAACTAGCAGTAACTGGGAGGCATAAAACTGGGTCTTTAGCGACTACAGGAAGGTTGAGGATGAGGGAGAAGAAGCCATCCACATGCTCAGTTTATCCATATGGCAGCTAGACCGCTGGTGGTCCCATTAACAAGTACAGAGAAGTGAAAGATCTATCTGTAAGAGACCTTGTTTGGGAATTGCTGATTTTGTGTGCCTGAAGAGATGAGTGGAGAGTAGCTGCAGGTCTGAAACGTGGGGGACAGGGAGCAGCTGGAGAGCTGTCAGCAGCAGTGGTGGGAGATTGTCTAGCCGAAGAGGAAACAGCACCTTCACCAAATCCTTTCTCGATTATCTTGGGAGGATAGAACGCCGAATCTCATGACTGCCTCCTGCTTTGGCTCTTTCTTACAGGTGGACAATGGTAACCCCCATGAGCTCGAATCGCAGTGCTGCTGGGGTTACAGTCTTTGAGGGCAGGATCTATGTGTCAGGTGGCCATGATGGTTTGCAGATCTTCAACAGTGTAAGTCTGGGTCCCCGTTAGGCTGAGTGCACATACTCCTTGCATCTTTGAAAGACAGTTCTTTGGGAAAACTTTCACCCTGCCATTGTTGGGTAAGATTCTCTAGTGAGGTTTCAGGCCATCTGCTCTGCGCCCTGGAATTCCCCCAAGAGCAGAAGCTAGTGAGCACAAAGAAGGGGTTGAGGGCAGCCATGCTGCCACTGCCACCCCGCACCCCATTCAGTTCTCCGTCAGGTACTGCCTGCGACCTGTTACAATATCTGCTCAAAGTGAGCTGCTACATACAGTGTGAATTTGCAAACAGTCATATGCTTTTGAATAATTTATTTGAAATTGCATTCTTTAAAAAAACCTCAACAGAATCAGTCATTGCTGGGATAGCATCTATTCTGGACAGGTTTCAGGAGACACTGATCTTCCTAGCTTTGTCATAGCGCTGCATCCATGGGCCGCTTCTTCATTTGTTTCCCTAGACGTAAACAGAGAGGGTTGGATTTAGGGATCTCTCATCTGTCCTTATAAACCCGCGGGCATTTGTGTAGCTGAGGAAGGTGAGCATCAGCCGGAGCATATACTGCCAGAGCTCCAACCCCCCAGGTCCCCTTACTCCCCAAGTCTGGCACCCTGTGACACTGCCCTGTGAGATCACCTGTGACACAGCTTGGGCGCTGACTGTCCTGTACTTATGCCTGTTTCCCACTGCAGGTAGAACACTACAACCACCACACAGCCACCTGGCACCCAGCAGCTGGCATGCTCAACAAGCGTTGCCGGCATGGAGCTGCCTCTCTGGGAAGCAAGATGTTTGTGTGTGGGGGCTATGATGGCTCTGGGTTCCTCAGCATCGCCGAGATGTACAGCTCTGTGGCAGACCAGTGGTGCCTGATAGTTCCCATGCACACACGCCGCAGTCGCGTCTCCCTGGTGGCCAGCTGTGGGCGCCTCTACGCCGTGGGCGGGTATGATGGACAGTCCAACCTAAGCTCCGTGGAGATGTATGACCCAGAGTTGGACTGCTGGACATTTATGGCCCCCATGGCTTGTCATGAAGGAGGGGTCGGCGTGGGCTGCATCCCTCTTCTTACCATCTAAGGCAGAGCAAGGGATGTAGTGGGGTTGGGATTTGGTACAAACAGACACTTCTTCCAAGGACAGTCCCTCTCAAGGGAAGGCGGTGGACCAGAAGACGGGGTGCAAGGTGAGCTCGCTGGAGGTACAGTTTTCCAGGTGCTTAAGTCTTCCCTCACTGTGCTACTCCTGGTGACATTCAGGCCCAGGTCATCAAGATGCACAGCATGGGACAGAAGCCCCTCTGGGTCCTGCAGCTGGTGACACGGGACTGCTTGCTCTGTTGATCCACACATATGCAGGCTCTATCCAAGCCCAGCTCTAACTTGGGGATTCAATGAGGTCTTTTTCATCTTGTCCGGGAGTAAAAGAAGAAATAAAGATACTTGAAAAAAAACTGAAGGAAATTTAAACAAACACTTGAAAGAAACTGGAAAGAAAACTACTTTAAGTAGACTTTTTTTTGCAAGAAGAATATTAAAGACTAAAGGCAAATACGTGTTTAAATGGAAAACCACCAAATATGATAAAGGGCACTATCTGCTCCCACATTCGGATCCCAGGGTCCTGACGCCTCACCTAGCACATGGGGTTCCCTCTGAGCCCCAGTGTGTTGGAATCTGTGCACTCTTGACTGGTCCTACAAGTAGCAAGGTGCTCATGGGGTTCGTCTTCATACCCACTATCAGAGGACTTTTTTAATCATAGGCTTGGCCCATCGGCTAAATTACTGCCACTCTTCTAGGTGAGAGCTCCCATTTGGTGGCTGGAGGCTCAGATGTCCCTGTGGTTACCTCCCGTTGCCACCATGGCATTCACTCAGATTCCCCACCCCCACTCTTATCCTTCCTTATTTGACCAGCAGGTTAACAGCAGGTCTGGCCAGATTCTCAGTTGCCCACCTGTCATTCTTGGGTCGACTTCCTCATTGTGACGCTCCTGGAGCTCGTTGACCATTTGTACCTCTAGATCTAACCAGGGACTTGTTCCTTCCACCAGCCATGGGCTGCTTGACCCAATAACCTCGTCTGTCCTACCAGTCCACTGCTCCTCCAGCCACTCACCAATTCCGGGGGTCTGGCCCTCCCTATGGCCCCTGGCAGACCAACCAGCAAGGTGGACTTTTACATTCAAGTAAAGCTGGCTCTCTGGCATAAAGAACTAAAGGCTAAAATGAATCTCTTGCTGCTGCAAAATACAGTTTTTATATTTCTCCCTCTGATCTTAGGAAATGACCTCTTGAAGAGACTCTGGCTCCTTCCTCCTCCCTGGATGGGACCTAAATGTAGCACAACAGGATCCCAACAGGAGGGTGCATTCTACTACCCGTACACTGGGCAGTGGCGCTGTCCTCCAGCAGTGACTGCCAAAATCTGCTTCTCTGAAATTCTTCCATTATAGACTAAGAGAGCATACAATTCCTTTCACCCAGGACTCGGTCTTAGGATCCAAGTCTCTCCATTTGGCTGGTCTCCTGTCCATCACTGCCTGGGTGGGGTGACCTGAAAGCTATTCAGAAAGATACAGTGTGGCACCTGGACATTTTTTCCACCCCAGGACTGTGAGACTCCCTGGTGTGGGTAGTCGCCATGTACTTGGAGGCAAGTACCTTTATTACCTGCCACTAAGGACCTGAACCTCTGCTACAAGCACTTGAAATTGATATTTTTATTTTAAAAGACAGCCGTCTGATATAGTTTAGGCTGGGCTCGTGGTGGAGCACCAGCATTTCTCACTCCTTGGTCTGCCTGTGGGGTAGACATGGAGCTGGGGTCTACATTTCCTGTTAGAGAGGAGTGTATCCTATTATTATGAGCCCCTTTTGTGTGTGAATTTGCGGCAGCACTGATGAACCTGGGTTATGAAGGTATTAAGAATCATTTGGGCTGGGTAGCCCTCCACTGGCCCTTTCGACGCTGGCCCAGATTTTGCCATTTGGGTGAAAGGTTGCCTCCTGTGACCTGTTGCTCTTGTAGCCTCCTCAAGTCTTCTCTCACCTACAGTATAGAAATTACACTGCTGTGCCAGAGGTCAGTGTGTTAATCTGGGCTCTGAGCACAAATGAGCAAATGTCACCTTGCATAGGCTTTGCACTTGAATCCCTGATCTGATAGAGTTAACTTTGCCTGTGGCTAATCTGGCCTTTGGCGTTGGAGCCTTTCCAGTAGCACCATGAAGAAGAGAGACATCAAGGGTATTAGGAAAAGGCCATAACAAGAAGGTAGCACGGATGTGCTCAGTGTGTCCAGCCCAGCTCTGAATACACGAATGTGCCATTTGCTATCCTTGGCATTTTCCTTCTTAGAAAAAACACAGAACCTTTTCTTCTTCTGCGTTGCATCTGACATCAATGCCAGGACGGAAGCTGAAGACCAGCCTCTTACCTTGGCCACAGAGCTAAGCCCAAATAGAAATTCTGCCCTTCCCAATTTATTACTTCCCAGAAAATCTGGTTTTATTTATAGAATGCATGTCTTTCATGTTAAGAAACCAAAGAGAAATAAAGAGTACACTCCTAACATCTTCTTGCCCTTTATTGATTTATTTTTTAAATGTTAGAAATAAGTAATATTTCTATTGTAAGTCAGTGAAAAAATTTGTTGAGCAAAGTAAAAATATTCTGTGAAAGTAAGGGGAACGTCAGACTCCATTTGCAAGTTACATATTTGCTCCTGTGACTACATCCCATCTCTTAGATTCCTTAGAATCCTACTATGTTCTCACTGTTGTTAAAACTCCAGATTCCCAGAGAACTGTGACTTGCCTGGAACCAAAACCCCTGGCTACTTTTTCATGCCCTGAACTTTGGGGCATATGAAGGTCACTAGGAAACCTTTGAATCACAAATTCATTTGTAGATCCCTCCCTGGAGATGCACTGTCTAAGGCTGGGATGTAGTTCAGGCTCTGGGGTGCAGGCAGCTTTCCTTGATGTTTTATGTGTTCATCATAGTGAGAGCTGAATTCTGTGCCTAGTGTCCACTTCTTCAGATATAGCCACATCTCAGGTCGATCTGGTGAGGTTATACCCTAGTTACTGTGCTTGTGCATGTTAAGAACGTCTTCCCTCACACTCTCCAAAAGTCAGCTTATAGTCAATCCCATCCATTAGGTACTGATTATACTTTCACATGATAACCTCATCTTCGAAGTTTTAGAAGGGTATGTCACTCCCCACACACTCCAACATATGTTTCACGCATAAACACCACTGATTCTTAATTGGTTTTCTCCATGATCTTTACAGGCTGGGTGGTGCAGCTCGTTTTAACACATACTGCCTCAGTCTGCGAAACTGATCTGACTCATCAACTCACCAGTAATAGTGTAAAGAATTGAGACCAGATTTCCATACTCACTGCCTGTTCACCTGAGTAGAGCAGGGTTGTTCGACCTTTGAGGCAGTTGACCCATCAGCCTTCATCCTGGTATGTGGAAGTCTGCTGCTGGTACTTTGATGGGCTTTGGAGAGCAGACTGCAGTGAGAGAAAGAGAATCCACATTAGCATTTTGGAAACGGTTCCTTTATGCTGAAATACGAAGTCATATCATACGCAGGCTCCCTTTCTCCCTGTGGGAGAAACGCCATGTGCCTATAAAATAACAGCCCTTTCCATGAAAGCTACACCCTCTTGCTCAGACCCAGTGAGTCCACAGGTGAAGAAGGAACTATGGAATTCGACTAGGTTCATTTGCTTCACTTTTTTTTAAATTTAGCAACTGTACTTTGGACCTTCCCCTCACAGTTAGCAGCACCCACTCCTTTTCACCCCTGAGGAGCCCTGCTGGGTTTTGTTTTGTTTTTTAATTATTATTATATAACAGTTTTTTACATCATTTTGTAAATTTTTTTTTCCATCTCAATTGTAATCCCCGCAGGTTTTCCATCACCAAGTCACCCGTGTGCCATCACCATAATCCGTGTACTTCCCTCCCCACCCCACCCCCCTTTTTGATCCCATTCCCCACTCCACCCCCCACAAAATGTCTCTGGTATATGGCTGTTCATTATTCTTGTTATTTTCTCTCCTGGTCCATTATACTCCTGTTATGAGTGAAACCATCCGGTATTTTTCTCTTGCTGGCTTATCTTACTAAGCATGATCTTTTCCAGCTCCATCCAAGTTGCTGCAAAAGACATGTGTTTCTCTTTTTTGGTTGCTGAGTAATATTCCGTTGTATATATGTACCACATCTTTTTAATCCAGTCATCTACTTTGGGGAGCCCTACTGGTTTTTACTGCTGCTCACCATAATCTAACATTATACAACCAGAGAATGACACAGGTATCACACAGCTCTCATCTCCCTGGTGGCCTAGGGGTTAAGTCTCAGTGCTGTCATCACCATAGCCTGAGTTCAATCCTGGGCCAGGGAAATATGGTGCAGCAGACCTCTCCCATCTCACCCACTGCTTTATTTTAGTAAATCTGCCTGTGCTATTCCCCACTCTGTCTCTGGTGAGTCCTCCTACCCCCCACACACACACACCTCTGGCCTACACCCCAGTTCTATGCAAAAATAAGTGAAGATTAAAGTAAAAATAAGACACTGGAATTGTTTATTAAAAAATTGTTCCAGATTTACTGTTCCCAATCTCCTCTCTAGTGTAAACAGAATTTTTTTCTCTTTAGTGGAGCTCAATTCTATATATAATTCTCTTTCTAGATTTGTAGTTCAGGATAAAACCTAAACTGGTGTAGCATAGAAGGTCGCTATGATCTGGCACTTCCTCCCAGTTTGCCTGCCTCCTACAAGTCCTTCAGGGTCCAGTTTAGATGTTTTTATGTAGAAAGCATCTCTGGTCCAAAGCTGGTGCCCCTCTTCCTGACCCCACCAACGCAGTGGGAATTTTGCTTGTCTTACTCTCCTGATAGTGAGCAACTCGACAGTCCCTGTAACTCTGTACCCCCAGCATGGGGTACAAAGAGACAGTTTCTTGGAGGACTTGAGGACAGTCAAGTATGACCAGACTTAAGTTCACCTAATCACACTTCCTAGTCATTTCAGGTGACTGATTTTTTTTATTGAGGTATAATTTATATCCATTGGCATTCACTTATTTTAAGTATGCAAATCAAAATTTTAATAGATAAGCAGAGTTTGTGCACCCACTACCACTTTTCTATTTGGAAATGTTTTTATCACTTCAAAAAGTTCTCTCATGCCCATATACAGTTAATCCCCATTCTTTTTGCTTAATGTTTCAGGCAACCTCTGTTTTGCTTAATATCATGTAGGTTTGCCTCTTCTAAACATTTTGTATAAAAGAAGTCATATAATCCATGGTCTTGTGTCTGGCTTCTTTCCTAGGATAATGTTTTTGTGGTTTATCCATGTTGTAGAATGTCTCAGTATTTTGTTCTTTTACTGTTCCTAAATAGTACTGTTCCATAGATTTATATATTTATTCAGATAGAACTGAGGTACAGGGGCAGTGAGAGGGCTCACCAGAGACAGAGTGGGGAGCAGAATAGTCAGATCAACAAAGCATACTGCTGAGGGGAGCAGTGAGCAAAACAGGAGAGGTCTGCTGCGCCATGTGGGTCACTTCTGGGGCAGGGTTTGAACTCGCACTGAAGCAGCTGCTGCTAGCTTGCAGTGCTGCATCCTAACCTGTTGCGCCACCAGAGAGCCCTGTCTGTTATTTTTTTCCTCCACCAGTTGATGAATATTTAGGTCATTTCCAGCTTGAGGCTATTATATGCAAGTCTTTGTGGATATATATTTTCATTCCTTTTGGGTAGATTCCTAGGAATGGAATTTCATTTGTAAGTTTATGTTTAACTTCTGAAGAAACTGACAAGCTTTTCCAAAGTAGCAGAATCATTTTGTATTTCTACCAGCCATGTATGAAAGTTCAGTTTTCTCCATATCCTTGCCAGTTCTTAAAATTGTCTCTTTTTTATTATAGCCATCAATTATAGTTAAGTGTTAAGTAGGATCTTGTGGTTTTAGTTTGCATTTCTCTAATGATTTGGGGCATCTATTCATATAGTTTTAAAAAATAATATAGGGCCCTCCCTGGTGGCGGAGCGGGTTAAAGCACAGCACAAAGAAGCTTAAACCACTTCAGCATGAGTTCTATTCCCACCTGCCCCGGAGGTGACCACATGGCGTGCAGACCTCTCCTGACACGCCCGCTGCCCCCCTCAGCAGTGTACTTCATCGATCTGCCTGTCTGCTCCCCACTCTGCCTCTGGTGAATCCTCTCACCCTCCGCATCTCTGACCTGTACCCCAGTTCTGTACGAATAAGTAAATAAATATTTTAAAATAATAATAATAATATAATTTATTTTTACATCATTTTGTGCCTTTTTCCATCTCAGTTGTAATCCCCATTGGCTTCCCATCACCATATCACCCGTGTGCCATCACCATAGTCCAGTGCATTTCCCTCCCCCCCCATTGTTTTTGATCCCATTCCCCACTCCATCCCTGTAAAATGTATATAGCTGTTCATTATTTTTATTATGTTCTCGCCTGGTCCATTACACTCCTGTTATGAGTGAAACCATCCAGTACTTTTCCTTTTCTTTCTGGCTTATTTGACTAAGCATGATCTTTTCCAGCTCCATCCATGTTACTACAAAAGGCATGTGCTTATTTTTTTTTTGGTTGCTGAGTAATATTCCATTGTGTGTATGTACTACATCTTTTTAACCTAGTCATCTACTTTTGGGCATTTGAGTTGTTTCCATGTCTTTCCAAATATATTCATATACTTTTTAACCATTTATATATCTTTAGGGAAAATATATTCACATTTTGCCCACTTAGGAGTTGGGCCATGTCTTTTGAGTTTACAAGAATCTTTTATGTCTGTCAGGATACAAATTCTTTATCAGATACACAATCTGCAAATATTTTCTCCCAGATGTGGCTTGTCTTTTTGTTTTCTTAATGGCATCTTTTGAATTGTAGAAGCTTTACTTTGATTAAGTTAAATTTATCAATTACTTTTATGCATCATGTTTTTGATGTCATAAGAATTTTTTGTCCAACCCAAATTTATAAAGAAGTTCTTCTAGAAGTTTTATAATTTTAGCTCTTACATAGTTGTATGATCCATTTTGGTGGTTTTTTTTTTTTTTTTAGTTGACCTTTTTTTTACATGGATATCTATTTGTGCTATCACATTTGCTGTGGATATTATCCTTTTTTAAATTGCTTTGGTATCTTTGTTGAAATTAAGTGACTGAAAAATAAGGGTTCATTTCTAGACTCTGAATTCTGTCCCATTACTCTGTTTTCCTGTCCATTAGTGAGTACCATACTGAGTATATGGTGTTGATTACTCCACATTTTAAGTAAGTCTTAAAATTGAATATTTCCTCTGACTTTTCTGTTCCCCACAATTATGTTAGGTACTTTGCATTCCCATCAAACTTTTCTGATCATATTGGCAATTTGAATAGAAAAGATTTCTGGATATTAAAATTTAAAATTTCTGGATATAAATTTCTGGATATAAAAATTTAAAATTGGATGGTTTCAGT